TCTCTCTCTCTCTCTCTCTCTCTCTCTCTCTCTCTCTCTCTCTCTCTCTCTCTCTCTCGCTCTCGCTCTCTCATACTCCCCCTCACTCTCTCTTGTTCTCTCTCTCTCTCTCGCTCTTACACTCATTCTCTCTCCCTTGCTCCTTCTTGCTCTTTCTCTCTCTGTCTCTATCTCTCTCTCTCCCTCTCTCTCAACCTCTCTCTCTCTTGCTCTTTCGCTCTCTCTTGCTCTCTCTCTCTCTCTTGCTCTCATTCTCTTGTTCTCTTTCTTTCTCTCTTTCTCTATCTCTTTCTCTCTCTCCATCCCCCTCTCTCTCTCTCTCTCTTGCATTCTCTTGCTCTCTCCCTTGCTAGTTCTTTCTCTCTATCTCTCACACTCTCTCTTGCTCTCTCTCTATCTCTCTCTCTCTTACTCTCTCTCTCTCTCTCTCTCTCTCTCTCCCTCTTTCACTTGCTCTCTCCCTTGCTCTTTCTTGCTCTTTTTCTCTCTCTATCTCTCTCTCTCTCTCTCTCTTTCTCTCTCTCTCCCTCCCTCCCTCTCTTACTCTCACTCTCTCTCTCCCTCTCTCCCTCTCTCTCTCTCTTGCACTTTCTTGCTCTCTCCCTTGCTCCTTGCACTCTTCTATTCTCTCTCTCTCTCTCTCTTCTCTCTCTCTCTATCTCTATCTCTCTCTCACTCACTGGCTCTATATCTTGCCCTCTTTCTCTTTCTCTCTCCCTTGCTTTTTCTTGCTCTCTCTCTCTCTCTCCATCTCTCTCACACTCTCTCTCTCACTCTCTCTTGCTCTCTCCATTTCTCTGTCTTGCTCTCTCACTCTCTCTCTCTCTCTCTCTCTCTCTCTCTCTCTCTCTCTCTTTCTTGATAGTTTGTAATAGCTTTTTATAGATGAATGCAAATGCAGAAGTTCAGCTCTCTCTCTCTTTCTCTCTATCTCCCCTCTCTCTCTCTCTCTTGCTTTCTACCTTGCTATCTCTTGCTCTCCCCTCTCTTACACTTTCTCTCCCTTGCTCTCTCTTGCTCTCTTTTACTTTTTCTTGCTCTCTCCCTCTCTCTCTCTCTCTCTCTTGCACTCTCTTACTCTCTCCTTTACTCCTTGCACTCTCTTACTCTCTCCCTTGCTCCTTCTTACTCTCTCTCTCTTTCTCTCTCTCTCTCATTCTCTCTATTTATTACTATCTTGCTCTTTCTCTCTCTTTATCTTGTTCTCTCTCTCTCTCCTGCTATCTTTATCGTGTTCTCTTTCTCTCTCTCTCTCCCTCTCTATGCTCTCATTTGTTCCCTTTTCTTTCTCTCACTAGAGTGGTTTAGAGAGAGAAGCTTAGGGATGGCTAAAGGGGGTGGCCCTAGGTCACCTCCTCCAAATGGGGAAAATAGAGGTAGAGGGGGAGGCTAGAAGGAAGGAAGGGTTGGAAATCACTGGCAAGTGCTTTCCAAAGAGGAGGCCGGCGGTGGTGAGCCGACGGCACACGGGGGTCGGTCGGGTTTCTTGCCCAAAGAAAATGCAAGAAGGAGCAAGGGAGCAAGAGAGAGATAGAGAGAGCAAGAGAGTGCAAGAGAGAGAGAGAGAGACAGGGAGAGAGAGAGAGAGAGAGTGGGAGAGAGAGAGAGAAGAGAAAGTAAAAGAGAGTAAGAGAGAGCATGGGAGAGAAAGAGCAAGAGGGGGAGAGAGCAAGGGAGAGCAAGCGTGAAAGCAAGAGAGAGGTGGAGAAAGAGTGAGATAGATAGAGAGAGTGATAGAGAGAGAGAAAGAGAGCAAGAGAGAAAGAGAGAGAGAGAGAGAGAGAGAGAGAGAGAGATAGATATAGAGAGAGAGAAAAGGAGCAAGGGAGAGAGAGAGAGAGAAAGAGCAAGAGAGAAGAGTGAGAGAGAGCAAGAGAGTGAGAGAGAGAGAGAGGGAGAGAGAGAGAACAAAAGAGCAAGAGAGAGAGAGAGAGAGAGAGAGCAAAAGAGCAAGAGAGAGAGAGAGCAAAAGAGCAAGAGAGAGAGGGAGAGAGAGCTGAACTTTGCCTTTGCATTCATTAATGAAAACTATAAAGGACTACAATGGCCACAAGGGGACCCAAAAAGAAAAAGACCCCTAACAGGGGGCGGAAACACCACTATCATCCTCAAGGATGGACAAAAATTCCTGAGGAATACATGTACTAAAACTATCATCTAAATTCCAAACAAAATTGTCCTCAATTGCACTTTGAGCACAAAAATGAGCCGCCGAGTTAAGCTCCCTTCTCACATGAACAAAAAGGACCTTCTGGAGAGATCCCAACCAATCTAGACCACCCTCTGCATCAGGCCGAAGCTTCCAGAGTTCCCGCTCCTTGAACTTTTCCATATATTGAATAACACTGGCGTTATCCCCTTCAATGATAAGACCATTCACCTCTAGCATCCACCCACAAGCAGCTTTTCAATGTATTGAAAGGCCAATTACTCCACTTGGGTGCTATCCCAATGTGTGATACGCTAGCCCGCAGCCACCACAAGTTGGCCCTGATCATCTCTAATGACAATACCGATACCTCCCCTGTTGGAACGACGTAAGGCCCCATCGACATTAATTTTCAGCCAACCAGAAGGGGGGGCACACCATGAAGACGAAAAGACCAATCCGGAGGATTGAAGGGTGAACCGTTACTCCAGGCATGTAGAAAAATAACCACGGGATAGAGACTCGAGAAAATTGGCAGCCATGGCTATAGGGGTGCACCTGAACTTGCCGTGTCGAATTGCATTTCTATTATTCCAACACCTAAAAACAGCACCACAGTATGCACGGCCCCAGAAGTCAGTGGCGACACACCGGCTCCTCAACGCTTCCTGGAGTTCACCGAAGGAGGAGAATTGGGGAATGGAGAAACCCCAGCCATCCAGGCATCGACGGACATCCGCAAGCTGTCGGCACTTTGCTGAAACATGATCCAGATCCTCAAGGAGCCCACAACCAATCGGTCACAGCAGGTCCGTTCCCAACCCCCGTCGATGCAGCCAAGTGCAAGTGGGTAGCAGATTCTTATATGCCCTCCACCAGAAAATTCGCTCGCGTGGGCGAAGGCCAATTTTGAGGACCGGATACACCGGGTCCTCCTCCTCTTGGAACAAAGACATGTAACAGATCGCAGAGATAGAAGTGCCAAGAGGGCACTTAATCAATTCAAGAGAATCGACAGGGGATTCCGACCAAATTTTTATGTCACAAATGACATCCACAATGGAGGCCCCAAAGACCTGCATCAGCTTGGTTCTATCCCACCTTCCATCGGCCGTGAAAAGCTCCCTCACCACATATCCGTCCACGACATCAATATTGCAGAAGGTAGGCCATCGATCAATGACCAAGTCGTATATCCATACATGGTTAATCACATCAATTTCAGCACCATTGCTGACCCGCCATCGGATACAATTAGCCAGGCTGTCGCCCCGCAACAGATTACCCTCCAAGAAGCAGAGCCCTCGCGTCTTTGTCCCTAGGACCAAGGCCAATCTTCATACTTATGTCTTAAGCATCTATTGAGCAGGCTTAGCGGCTTGTTGAAAAAATTCCATGCAAGTCGAGCTCGTAATGGGCCAGTCCACCGTCCGCTAGCATGGAACCCGAACCCCCCGAGACGCCAAGGTTTGGTTAGCGCCTCCCAACTGGAATAATATAAGCTCCGATTATTGTGATCTTTGTTCCACAGAAAACCACGACAGATCTTCTCCACCTCATCAAGAACACCTCTCGGCACCAGCATATGCGAGACAGCATAGACTGAGAGGGGGAGCAAAACAGAGTTTATCATAGTAACTCTGCCGGCCAGGGAAAGATGTCTCACTCCCCAAGCAAGAGTCAGAGCACTAGACTTCTGCAATAGCGGGCTGAAATCCGCCTTCTTCAGTCTTCTAAGCGTAAGCTTGATTCCCAAATAATCCATCTCCTCGACCTTGTGGCAGCCAGCAAGTCTAGCCAGCCTGTGTTTGGTTGTCGACAAGGTGATCTTGCTAAACATAATTGCCGACTTGCTCCTATTGACCCGCTGCCAAGTCCACGCACAATAGTCCTCCATAATCGACATAATTTTCTTCACATTAGGAATGGAAGCGCCTGCAAAACATAAAACATCGTCAGCATAAAGGAGGTGGGAGACCATGGGTCCGCCCGCCTTGAGTTGAACACCCATCTTCGGAAATCGCTGGTGGAATTGAAGAGATATGAGCTCCGAACAAAGAATGAACAGATAGGGGGAGAGCGGACATCCCTGGCGGAACCCACACTCCGCCGTAATAGCCCCTGTAAGCTGCCTGTTGACCATAATTGAGAACCGAGGGGAGCGAATGCAACTCAGAACCCAAGAGCGGAATTTAAGGGGGAACCCCATACGAGACAGCACCAGCTCAAGAGTTCTCCAGCTCATTTTCTCATAGGCTTGTTCCATATCCACCTTCACGGCCATCCACCCAGGATTGGATCTCGAGACCTTGAATTTGTTCAGCACCTCCTGCCCGAGCAAGCAGTGGTCGGAGATTGACCGGCCCGGGACAAAAGCCGCTTGCTCCTCGGAGATAAGGTTGGGCAGTAAGCTTTGCATCCGATTCACAAGCACCTTCGCCACAATTTTATAGATGGTCTGGCACAGACTGATAGGTCTGTACATAGACGGACGATCCGGGTTGCTGGTTTTGGGAATCAACACCACCATTGTCTCCTTCCAGTCAGGATCCATACACCCTGTCGCGAAGAATTCCAAGCAAGCCGCCGTGACCTGCTTGCTGACAATACTCCAAAAAAACTTAAAGAAAGAGGTCGTCACTCCATCTCTTCCTGTAGCCCGATTTTGACTGAGAGACTAAACCCCATTCCATATCTCCTCCTCCGTAACTTCCTTATCCAACAAATTAGCCGCATAAGCTAAAGTAGCGTGCTGGGCTTCAAAAGTAGGCCAATCGGTCTCACAGATTGGTGTCCCGCACCATTTATGTTCAAAGAACCCCTTCACCACCTGCAGGACATCCGCATGATCAGTAACCATCTGTCCGTCAGGCATCCGCATTCGATCGATAAGATTAGTGCGTCGTCTAGCAGAGGCCCTTCTTTGATCCATTTGACCTTTGCGCGCTGTCTCCACCACGTTGAAAGTCGATCGAGAGTCGAATTAAGCAATTGGACCTTGTACCGCAGTGATTCAGCCTGCACCTCATTAAGCCCAGTCGGCGAACTCTCGATGCTTTGTAAAATACAAATCTCCCTATCCAGTTCTTCTTTGAGATTGTTTAACATTTTGAACTTGTTTTTGCTCCAGAAGAACAAGGCCTTCAAAGAACGTTGGCATTTCCTTTGCAACTTGGATGCTTCCGAATCTGTATCAGGCACCAGCCACTTCTCGGCGACCAACTGCCACGCTCTGGGCAAACTCGCCCAGACATCCTCGAATTTAATCCAGTAGGATCGAGCCCTCTGTCTCCCCAAGCTAACAATGCAAAGAATTGGACAATGATCGGAGGCGATCCTCGTAAGATGGCTCACCCTTAGCTCCTGAAAGGCGTCCAGGATAGAGGAGCTAATCAAAAACCTATCCAGCCGAGAGGAGATATGACTCCCAGCGTCTTTATTATTAGTCCACGTGAAGGCGGGACCGGAGAACCCCGGATCAATCAGTCCGTTGGCAGCCATGAACTCACTCATTCCCTTAGCAGCAGTCGTGAATGAGAAAGGCCGCCCGCCCTTCTTATCCGCTTGGGCAAGAATACAATTAAAGTCCCCTCCAACAATCAAGGGCGAGTCGGACTTATGGTGCTGAAAGATTTCGTTAAAAGCTAACGCCCGGACATGGGTGTCTTTATCCGCATACATCACAGCCACCTCCCAGTCGAAAGTAGCCGAGCTTTTAAATCTGCCCATAATGCACTGTTTTGATTTGAAAATAACATGGAACGACCCCACCGAACACTTCCATAACACAAGGATACCACCCGCCTTACCCACTGATGGTTGGTAACAGTAGTCCCAATCCCTCCCAATAATCCTATCAATATCAGTTCTGGAAAAAACTTCCATCTTGGTCTCCACCAACCCAACAACACTAACATCATGGGCCCCAATAAGGTGTCGTAAGTAATTGCCCACCTCCTTCTTACGAGCACCTCGGCAGTTCCAACAGATGGTGTTAAACATTATCAACCAAAGGGGAAGCGTCCCCGCCGCATTGTTGTTCCAAATTCTCCTCGGTCACCGTGGCCCCAGATAAATTGTCCATAATGCCGTCATTATTTTGCAACACAACCGGAGCCTCCAAATCAACCGGTAATAGCTCCACAGAGGGGTCCCCAATTAACTGAGTTTCGCAGCCTATGATTCCTGGTGGTTCCCCTTCCGCCTTGGCCAACTTCATCCGTGCTCTCCTGCCACTAGTATTGTAAGGTTTCCAAGCCTTGGCCTTAGAGTCTGAGAATCTCAAAACTCTAGGAACTACCGGCCCATCTAGGGAGTCCCTGGAGTAGCTCCGCCTCACGTGCACCTTCTGTATACCATCATCCACATTGGCTTGAGCATCACCAAGGGGGAGCTCATATTCTTTCTTTTCCGGAACCAAGCCTTGGCCGTCCTCCAAGTTGTTCCCTTCCATCATTTGTTCCACTGGCAAAACCTTCTCTTCATCAAACGATTTTTCCATTGGCTCCGGGAATACCCTGCACTCTTCCAGAGGGGCCTTGAAAGGCCTAGCCTCCCCATTCGAAGTCTCCATTATTTCAACCTCCGTTTCAACCACCGGTGTATTACCCTTAGCCACAGCAACCCCGGAAGCCCCGGTAGTTGTTTTCTTAAAGTTCATTTCCCCTACATCAGTCCCCAAGGATGGGGCATCCACCATATCCAGCTCCTTGGCCGCCACTCTCCAAACGGAGTTAGTTCCCGAATTTTTAGCCAGATTTGCCTTAGAACTATTGTTTGGTTTCTCTCCAACCTTGACCGATCGAGGTCTCCTTCTTCTCGTCACAATGGTCCATTCCCCGCAATCATCCCCCCTAGTCGTGGTTCCATGCCTTGATGAGCTAGCACCATGATCAGGGCCATCCGCCTCGTTTCGGCCTAGAAAACTGGCCTTCCCAGATCCCGTATTCACTGAATCAGACCTGTATGGTCGCGGATCATGTACATTAGCCACTGGCTTTTGCACCTTACACACCTCTGTCTTATGACCGACCTTCCCACAAGCAAGGCAGATCGCCGGAATACCTTCATACTCAATGGGTTGGAAAAATTTGCCATTCAAACCTTGAGCCCAGACTCCTTTCGGCAAGCTTTTCGACAAATCCAATCGGACACAAACACGTGCAAAAGCGCATCTATTCCATTGTTTCGTTTGCTCATCCATAAACAGGGGTTCCCCCACACCAGATGCCAACCTTGCCAAATTTGCTTCATCCCAATATTCAAGAGGTAGATTCGGTAATCTGAGCCAAACCGGCGATGTGAACTTCCTTCCAGTCTTAGGTGAAAGCCCTGTAGTCCATTTCTCCACC